AGCAATTGCTTACATAATTGCTGTTCTACTGTACTTATGCATGTATATATTAATGTATACATATATTTGAAAAAAAAAAAAAAAAAAATAATAAAATAAAATAAAATAACCTTTTGGACTAAAACACATGTAAATTTACAACAAAAATTTTACTTTTCCTTAAATTTGGGAATATAGGGAAAAATTCTTTTATTATTAAACAATGTTTTCTGTATAATTTTTTTTTTCCCATTTTTTTTTCTTCTGTTTTTTCTCTTTTTTTTTTTTTTTTTCGTTGTTATTATTTATTATTGTACTACTATCCCATTACTACTGTCGCTATTACAGCTATCACCATTAATACTTTTTTTTTTTTTTTTTTTTTTTTTTGTTTAGAAGAATTGAACCTTTAAATTACCTTCCCCCTCCTAACCACAGACTATTTTACATAAATAAAAATATGCACACAAAAAAGGGAAAAAAAAAAAAAAAAAAAAAAATTATAACATTTAAACAACTGTTAGAATAATTTTTTTTTTTTTTTCCCTTTTTTGTTCTTAATTTTGATAATTTCCTTTTTTTTATTCATTATTTATTTATTTTGTTTTATTTTATTTTTAAAAATCTATTTGGAAAATTAGCACTTTTTCCACAAATTATGAATGAACAGTGGTAGTATACACATAGTATTCATTCTGTGTACACCACTTGTTCATGTATACTATTCCGTTCCGCATACGAGCATGTATGTATATATGTACACATTTACAACGTTTATGCCTGTACATCACCATATGTGTACATTTCCAGGTATAGGCCAATGGAACAAAATATACAAATATAACAGCAAAAAAATAATATAATAAAAATAAACAACTGTTTTCTTCCGAATGCTTCATTTTGTTTCAATCAGTACCGCATAGGAACGAATTTTCGATGTGTGAATCTTTTTCTCCATTCTGTTTCCTATTCCCCATTTCCTATTTTTTTTTTTTTTTTTTTTTTTTTTTTTTTTTTTCCAAACTTTCCCTTGCTTTTTCCCTCACGGTTTTTATTTTTTTAATTTTTCTATTTTTATTAAGGCTTTTTTTGTTTTTCAGGTTTTTTTTTTTTTTTTTTTTTTTTTTTTTTTTTTTTTTTTTTTTAAAATTTTTTTTTTTTTTTTTTTTTTTTTTTTTTTTTTTTTTTTTTTTTTTTTTTTTTTTTTTTTTTTTTTTTTTTTTTTTTTTTTTTTTTTTTTTTTTTTTTTTTTTTTTTTTTTTTTTTTTTTTTTTTTACACTACCCCACCCCCAAACCTTACCTATTGAAAATATTTCTTAGCTGCTCGAAATTCTGTGAAAACAGACAGCAGCATGTGGAACCTAATTAACTACAACTACACCGAAGGAAATTCAAGTGGCCAGGGCAAAGAAAACGGAAATGATAATGTAAACACATCAATTCATCCTTAACTGGGCTAATGGACGAACCAGCACATAGGTGTTTGTTCGTGATATGCTCACCACCCCTGAATATGGGGTGATGCGATATATATATTCTTTATGTGTTTTTGTTTATTCAGCATGCACATTGCTTACGAATACAACTACTTTTATATGATTGATTTTCCTTCGAAAGCATAATCCATAGCTAATAGTAAACACAATATTCTTTTACTTCCATATTATTCGCGTGAAAAAAAAAAAAAAAAGTGTGCAAAGGGAATAGAACGAATGTATATAACAACAGTGCCAATGCAAAATATGCCCATCCGAAATATACCCGTGCAAAATATGCTCATTCACACACACATCGGAGCAACGTGTACTGGTAACAAAACTGAGGAAGTCTCTATTAATTTGAGTCCTCTCCTTTTTTTCATCTTCTCAGGCAACTAGCAATAATTACAACTTTTGGAGTATCCTAGGGTATGAGGTAAATAGTTGACCTTGATGAGTCTAAATTGAACAAGAACCATTAAAAAAAAAAAAAAAATAATTAATTCTCCACAAATGTATCTACACACAAAGGCAGAATTACTTGAGGCCACGGTTGTGCAGAAGTTTTTATAAAATTCATATAGATGTTTGCACTTGTATACATGCGTTCTCGTAAAAGGGAAATGTTCCATAAGAGGCACGTATCAAATGTGATAGTATTTTTTTATTTTTTTTAATAACTGCCTAACGTTGTGTAATTCTTTCCATTTTATACTATAAATAGGACAACCCTAATGGAGAAAAGGAAAACGATGAGAAAAATAATGAACAAAAAAGTAATGATGAAAATCAAAATGAATCACAACAAGAAAAAAAATTAGGATCAAAACATATCGTCAGAGTGATCGATGAAGATGGAAATAACATTGTTGATAAAACTCTCGGAGATGACATAAACGAAATAGAAGATGATTCAGCAGATAAAAAGAAAAAGAAAAAAAACAAAAAAACAAAAAAACATTTGACTAGTGAAAATAGGGATAAATCACCTTTCCTCAGTGATCTTAGTTCCTACGCTGATTATTACACAAGTGATGATGAGAGAAAAAAAAAAGAATTTCTTGTAACGAATGAGGATGATTCATTTGATCACCAGGTGTATGAGGCGCCTTCTCGTGTGAAGGAATACAATGTGTTCTTGAACACGGGTGAGGATAATGAAAATGTGGCCACTGTTGACGAAGCAGATTATGACAATCCAAATGGCGATAACTCTGCTAGGAACAATCTCGATGTTGATAATTTGACTAAGAATAATCCCGATGGTGGTCAATCAAGTGAGAACCAGATTCTGAGGCAGGAATACACCTCAAACGTGGCCAACGAATGGTTCTTCGGAAAAATTAAGGAAATGCTAGAACCATCGATAAATCAAGAGAGTATTAGTGAAATAATAACGAACAAATATAACAGTTTCAATGAAGGGAATTCAGGCATTTTTCATCTCCTAGAAAATTTACTAATTCGAACAAGTACTCAAGAAAAATTAGAATTAAATAAAAAACAAAAAAGTACCTATCTATATAATCACTACAATTCAATGGATTCATCTGTAAACGATAGTTACAATTTCGTTAACTATTCCATTTATTGTATTAATAAAGAATTAGCTGCTAATGTCGAATTGGAGGCTACCAAAATGATAAAAATCTATAATTATGCATTAAACAAATTTAAAAAAGATATTAATTTTAAAGATGATATTTACGCAGACCTAGAAAATGAAGCGGATGAAGTATCCACACTAATAATTAATGAGAAAAACAACCAAAAAAAAAGAATACCGAAAATTGATTTCCTCATTTTAATAAATATTAATAGCGACAATTACAACGATATAATCGAATCTCACAATGTACAAACTCCCAAGTTGAAACTAGAGGATATTTTTAAAATCAGCGTAAATTGAGGAGCAATACTATAGAAGAGGGATGGTTAATGTCTCTAGTTGAAATTGTAAAACTCCAAGAGCGTCACTTCAATTCTTTGTTCATGCGTGGAGCGAACACATAAATATTTTACAAACACACACATGAACTGGAATAATGTGCCATTGTTATCATGGTTTTGATAATATGGTATAGGTATGAATAAAAACATGCCACGATGAATATTCATTTTTGTTTTCTTAACATTGAAAAGATTTTTTTCCTCATTTCCTTGTGCTAGATTGACAATCCAATATAATTCCAAATGTATTACTGTCTTGTAATGTGTTTTCCGTTTGTTATATGTAAGTGTGGATTTTTTTTTTACCTTCGAAAATTGGCTTTATCTTTTTTCTGTGCGCACCCATAGGGATGTGGTGTATTACCACACCTTGTCATATTTTTAAGAAGATATATAACGGTGGGAAAGGGGGCCTTTTCCTTTTTTTTCATTGTGTCACCACCCTTTTCTTTTATTACATCAATCTTTTTTTTTTTTTTTTTCTGTTACCTAATTTAAGGAAAAACCATTTGACTCAACTGTTTTGTACCTTTTTTTTATTTTGAATTCTCTTTTAATCAAACATGTTAGATGAATTCTAATAGAGTTGTAACTGTTAACTGAATTGATCAATGTGACAAAGGGAAAAAGGGTTAGAATAGGAAAGGTATTATTATGAAAGCATAGTGAAGATGCTTTAAAAGGAGAAAGATAAAAAAAAAATAAATAAATGGGGAAAAAATAGGAAAAAAATGGGGAAAAAGTAGGAAAATAATAGGGAAAAAGTAGGAAAATAATAGGGAAAAAGTAGGAGAATAATAGGGAAAAAGTAGGAAAATAATAGGGAAAAAGTAGGAAAATAATAGGGAAAAAGTAGGAAAATAATAGGGAAAAAGTAGGAAAATAATAGGGAAAAAGTAGGAAAATAATAGGGAAAAAGTAGGAAAAAAATAAATCCTATGAAAAATTACATGCTCTTTTGTGTGAACTATATATAATCAGTACACATTTTATTTAACCTGATATGAGCACACTGAACTCCCCCCCCCCCCATACCTTAAATATTTTCCTTTTCTGTAGTAGGTAATCTGAAAAATACCATGTTTTCCACTTTTACCTTTATTGGTCATATAAATGTTCCACACTTACCTGATTTTGTCAGGTAAAAACGTTCTATCTTTAAGTATTTTTTTTTTTTTTTTTTTTATTCTCAGCAAGCTATTTTTATATTTTTTTATACATTTTCAAATTTAGGTCTCATGTTTCAATATAAATTCATAGTAAATGTTGCGTTTTCTCATTACAACTACTGAGACATAACTGTAAATTTTTTTTCTCGACATACTAAATCTTGTTTGAGCTTTTCTTCTCTCCTTCGTCCCTACGTGAATATTTGTGCACTGCAGTTTAATGACGATTGGATTTGCAGCAATGGAATGGAAATGGAGTTTATAAGATATCCGTTCTAGTAGATTTCTCTTTGGTTTATTTTGTGTCCTTGTTCTATGTTTTTATTTTTTATTTTTTTCTCATGAACAAATGTAGGCAAAATTTATGAAAACCGACTGTCCTTAATATGTTTCACTCATTTATGAAATTATCCAAATGAACGAGTGTTGGTAAAATAAAAAAAAAAAAAAAAAAAAAAAAAAAGGAAGCATGATGCACAACGAAATAAACATTGCTTTTCACTATTTGAAAACAGGAAATATTACATGGAAGGAAATAAACTCTCATTGCAACATTTGCATTGGCACTGTTGTTTTGCTTCCTATGTGACTGAAAAAATACAACATATCAGAAAAAAAAATAAAAAATGTATATAAATATATATATTATATATATATATATATATATATATATATATATATATATATATATATATAAATACTATCTACAGTAGTGTAGAGACATTTTCCCACTCAGATAACATTAAATTTTTTTTTATCCGTTACTATATTACATATTTACTTAAAAAAATATAGTGGTGATTTTGTTTCAACATTACCAACTGGGCAGCATTCACACGTTAAGAGCATTCCTTACATACGCAAGTGTTATTATGTACATTCAATGCTTCATATGTTATGTACGTATATATGTATATATTTGTACCTGATTTTGAACATATTTTAATACTCATGTAATCTTAGCTATTCATTTGTAAGCCTTCCTACTGATAATAAACCTTGGCAGTCGCGGTAATGAACTGTCAGGTAACAAAATTAAGCTAGGAGAGAAATATATATAAACAAACAATCAAATAAATAAACAAACAAACGAATAAGCAAACAAACAAATAAGCAAACAAATAAACAAATGAGTAAACAACAAATGTGCAAGGAGGCTAAATGATGAAACAACACGCAAGTAGATAAATGAGCAAAAACATATAACAGCATTTAAATAATTCGATGCTTCAACATCTGTTAATTTGGGCCACTTGAAGGTTATTGTATATTTTTGGAGAAAACTACCAAATGGGGAATTAGGAAAAATAAATAAAATGAGTAAATAAAGTCGGTGTAAATAAAATAAAATAAATAAATAAAATGAATAAGTAAAATGAATAAATAAATAAAACAAGCAATGAAGTGGTGTGCCCTTTTTGAGACATAAAACAAAACAGGATTTTTAAAATTGTTTTACATGTATGTATGTACATATATATACATACATGTTCATGCATGAATTGTACGCATGCTGGATGCCATATTTGCCATGAATGGATAATCAGTCCGGAATAGAGACCTGCTTAAAGCGATTTTTTTTTTTTTATTGACACGCATTCTTCGCTGTAAAGAAGAAGAATTTATAGAAAGTGGAAGTGCAAGCACGTGTACAGGTTTATAAACAATAATTTTTTCAGAAAAGTACTTTTCTCAGAATAACATTCTGTGGCATCTATATAGGCTTGCTACTTGCCATACGTATATTATTGTAGACGACAGGATCATATCATTTTATGTTTATAAAAAAAAAAAAGAAAAAAAAGAAAAAAAAGAAAAAAAAGAAAAACTCATTTGGATTTTGGAGAATCCGTCACGAGACCCAAAGGAATAAGCATGATGGAATATGATGAAACAAACAAAATGGTTGACCCCAGTCGAAATGAAAGTGACTGGGATGTTACAGAACCCATACAATTTGTAGATGTTAATAGCAGTAATATTTTTGATCTCGATATAACCACGTTAGATGTGAGGAAAGTAAACAATCATATGAACCTACGTGATATGTGCAAGCTGTATTATTATTTAAATAAAAATTCATTTTGCTACACGTCAGAAGAGAAACCTTATATTTCCAACATCTTGTATTTGAAATCCTTTTTTTCATCAAATGATGTTGAAAATTATGAAGTCCTTGAAAAGTTAAAACAACATGATGAGAGGGAGAATTCAGAGAAGAGAAAATTCAACCTTGACCGTGTTGTTGCGCATAACAAACTGGAAGAGAAAAAAAATGCAGCAAAGTTGGAGAGGAAAAAGCGTCCACAAAAAATGGAAGGAGATGATAAAAAATACGATGATGAAATACTGACTAATGCTGGTGATGATGATTCCAGCGGCGCCGATTCTAGTCAGGTTAATTCATGCCACAATGACACGGGTAATGATGAAACTGGTAATGATGACACTGCTAATGATGAAACTGCTAATGATGACACTGGTAATGACGTAGTGCCGAGGGAAAAACATAAAAAAAGGCAAAATTTGTGCGGTTCCTTTTCATCTGGAAATTCTTGTGACTCATCCTGCGAATCCATTTCCTCAACAAGTTCATACTCAACATGCTCATCTTCTTCTTCGTCCTCCTCTGCATTTTCATCGAACATTTCAGAGAAAAGTAAAAAAAAAAACAGTATGAGCAATTTAAAAATTCTTGATATAATTAATAAATATAACGAAAACGTGGAAAAAATGGAAACTAAAAAAATAAAAAAAATTAAAAGTCGTATAGGAAAATTAAAAAAATATGATACTGTTTGTGTGAAAGCAAATAACAATATTATTATGAAATCTCAAATTTACAAGTTTGTAAAAAAAGACAAAAACATAAATATTATAGGACAGTTAATATATAGCAGCAATGAGTGTAAGAAATTTTTATACAACAATTTGGAACACAATTTAAACAGGTGGCATGTATTGCCTTGTTTGGGTTGCTTCAGTAAAATTAGTGAACCAAGTGTTGTAAACAAAATTCAAATTTATAATTTTTACGAATTTGTTTATTTATTTAATGATTTCCCATTATGTTTTAAGCACAATAAGAGGCTTAATATTGCTAAATTTGAAAAGCGTTCTAATCAATCTAATTCTCATAATAGGACGAAATGCAGTTTTGTGCCTTCTTTAAGTAATACAGGTGATAATTTCGTGGAAGAGGACACAGCAAGCCGTTTGAAAAATTCCGTGGGAATGAGTAATCCAGATGGGGAAGAAACTCTCGAGGAGAAAAATGGAGAAACCCAGACAAAACATTACAAGTATTCGGGAGATAGGCACGTTATTGTAAATTGCCAATCTGATGAACGTGTACTGTGCAAGACCTCAGTTGAGTGCATTTCATCAGACGAGGTGGACAGCAGTATCTGCTCATGTGAATATGATGAAGATATTATACTGAACTATATGGAGAAAGATGAAATAAAAAGAGGGAAAAAGGACGGATGTTGCAGCTTTAGAGTATTTTATTACGATAGCTTCTTGTACAAAAATATCAAAATTGTTCCTGAAGTAGCAAAAAATTGCATTATTATAAACAGGAGGAGTGATGAAGATTTTAATTTTTTAGCAAATTGTAATATGTATGAGAAAATAAGAGATAGATACAATGTATTTTATGACAAAAATAGCAATTATGTGTTAACATACAAGAATTTTGAATATTTGTATTTTTTCTGCTTTAATTGTAGAATGTATTATGATATTAACATAATGTTGTGTGAAATTATGTTCAATTATATGAACAGTAATAAAAATACCGACCTCATTTGCAAGGTGAATAAAATGTATGGGTTTTTACAAAAATATAAAAAATCGTATGATATAAAAATAAAAAGACAAAAAGTAAAGCAAACAGATATATATTTTATCTGCATTAATTGTATTTATAATAATGTGCATAATATAAATAATCACCTTAGTTATTTTTCCTACTTTTGTGATTTAGTAAATGTTTACAATCATAATTTTTTTATATATAATGAGTACGTCAAAAGTATCCTAAACTTTGACCTTCCTTTTTTTTCCTTATACAATACAACAAAGGAAAAAGCTTTATTAACCGTTCAGAAAAAAAAAATGTCATTTGATGAAAAAACGAAAAATTTACCTGCACCTGCAAGGAATAATAATAAAAAAAATAAAAAAAAAAAAAAAAATCCCCTCATGTGTGCAAATGGGAAAAAAAAAAGTAATAATAAAAATGGAGATATATGCGGAATTCCGCAGGGTACAGGAAATCATAATAACAGTAGCAACAGTGACAATTCAGCAGTTCCTGAAAATGAAAAGGTCTCATTCACTTGTGATGATAGCACCCTCCAAATGACACAAACTGAGGCAGAAGATAAAAAGAAAAAATTGCACACAATGATATCTAGTGATGAAGAGAAAAAAGAAAAAAAAAAAAAAAAAAAAAAAAAAAAAAAGAATGAAGTGGAGAAAAGAAAAAAAAAAAAAAAAAAAAAAAAAAAAAAAAAAAAAAAAAACGAGGAAGGGGGGGGGGGAGAACTGGCCCAAATAGGAGAAGCAAACGCGAACCAGATGGGACAAATTCGAGAAAGTGAAGATGGCCGCGCAGTCCTTGTCAAAAGCGAAATAAAAAAAGGATCTGTGTGTGAGAAGGAAACTAAGGGCACAACTAAAAATTGTCAAGCAGTTGCAGATGGAACTGCAAATGGAACAGCAAATGGAACAGCAGATGGAACAGCAGATGGAACAGCAGATGGAACAGCAGATGGAACAATTGCGGGAGGAAGAGGAAAAAGTTTGAGCACCGGCGAGGAAGGAAGGACCAGCACGAAAAGACGTAGTGATAGAAAGAGGAAGAAAAAAAAAGAAGACGATGATGAACTGTTTGATGAGGGATGTATATCGAATGAAAGCGAAGATGAAAACACATATGAAGATCCAAGAGGATACACGGATGAAGACATTGTTGAGGAAAATCAAATATTGAACGAAGAGGTGTATAGTGGAGATTCTGAGTTTTGTAATGAAGAGTATGCGTCACATCGAAAGAAAAAAAGAAGAAAAGGAAAAAAGGGGAAATTACAGAAAAGGGAAAATTTGAAAGGGCAGAAAGGATTTGTAAAGGAAAAAAATATCACAGTTGTTGATAACGGAAATATGACTCGCACTACTATTAACAATAGTAATGGCAGAGGAGTTGTTCCTCATAACAAGGTGCAGGGAGAAAAAAAAGATGAAGAGTACAAAAAGCTAGTAGATTATTTGGATGGTGCATGTAACGCAGAGGATGGGGAAGATAGAAATATAAGCAAATACACAAAAGTAATTGACAAAATTAAACATGCATTAGATAAAGAAAATACAAGTGTCGACACAAAAACTATGAGTAAACAAATAGTAGAAAAAGTTATAGAAACGTATAACAACAAAATGGAAATAAAAATGAAATTATTTTCAATATGTAGTAATTTATTGAGAAAAGACAATTCAGAATTAAGAAAAAAAATATTGAACGGGACAATAAATTGTAGCGATTTAGCGCGTATGGATTCTTCGGATTTAGCCCCAATTAGTCTACAAAACAAAAGAAAGGAGCATGAAAGAAAATATTTTTATGAAAATATCTACTTGCGTGAAACTTTTGTAAATCTCAAAAATAATAGAAATCTTGAGGAAGAAGTGTACCAACCGAGTATTATATATGAAGAAAAAATAGAACCGAAGAATGAACATAGCAATGAAAAAAAAGATCAAGGTTTCATAAATGTCAGTGAAAATAATAAAAAACTGTCTTTGGAAAATTATAACAATGATTTAGGAGCTTTAAAAAATAAGGAAAGTTATGATAAGAAAAATGTGGATGATAGTAATAAGATAAACTTGAGTGATCAGAAAAATAGAAAAAAAAAAGGTTCATCTGGAAATGAAGACCATGATCATAATGGTTGTACAATACCCTCAATTGATAAATACTCCTTTGAATTTACGTACAAAAATTTGAAGTCTGTGTATGATAATATGCCAAAGTATGCCTCTTCCCCCATATTGACATTTCTAGACAATTCTTATAATAGAATCCTTACCATCATAGATGCAAACAAGAATGAACAATTTTGACATCTCTTTTCGTCAAGTACACCCTACTTTGGGATCACGCACCTGATGCTTCCAGCCGCGCGGTCTCCCACTTAAGCTACGCCTGCATGTGGCAGTTTTTGCCATCTGCCATTTTGCAGTTTTTGCCATCTGCCATTTTGCAGTTTTTGCCATCTGCCATTTTGCAGTTTTTGCCATCTGCCATTTTGCAGTTTTTGCCATCTACCATTTTGCAGTTTTTGCCATCTGCCATTTTGCAGTTTTACCGTTCATCGTCTTGTAATTTTCACCGTTTTGTCTTTAACTATTTTTCCTTAATGCCCTTGTACTTTTTTTTTTTTTTTTTTTTTTTTTACCTTTTCGCATACTATTTGTGAACCCACTGTGCATCTAATTTTTGCATGCTATTCTTGATGACCAGTACATGGGAAAAATAAAGTAAATCCACAAATTGTGTACCAAATTATATAGACGTTTTCCATCACCGAACAAATTTGCACGTTACACAATTATTAGTAATATCAACAAAAAAAAAAAAAAAAAAAAAAAAGGGACCATTTCACTCTTAATGGAGCCATTCTTAAAAGATGCTTTTTTTTGCAGCTTCAGATGGTGGATTGTGTAAATGCACCCGTATATGCATATGTATATATATATGTTTGTGCATATATGCACATATTTACACACTCGTTGACGTGTGTCTCCTCATGCGGCCATATGAACCTAGGTACCTCATCATTTGTTGCTCCGTGTTTTAAGGAAATCCCTCTTACACGTGCACGCACATGTATGTGTTTTTTGCATCTTCCTTTGGATACTCACGAACTTTAAACATTGGAAAAAAGAACTAAAGCGAGGTGAAGAGCAAAACAGAAATAGAATATTTTTAGATTTGTTACTATTACCAGAATTTATCCTTCAAGGCTCAGTTTTTTTTTTTTTTTTTTTTTTTTACATCTCTCTTGTAGTGTCCTTCCCATTCGTCTATGCATAATATATGTACATATATATATACATATTCATGTTTGAGCTTGGATTTATGCCTTAGGCTGTAAGGACACACACATATAAAAAAAAAAAAAAAAAAAAAAAAAGGCGACTCATGTAGTGCACTAACTAAATGTGGTATATTCTAATTACACTTTTTACCACGTTTAAAGAATACGAGAAAATATAAAAAGTCTGATGGATGGATATTTTGTTGAAGGAACAATTGATCGGGAAAAAAAGAAAAGAAATGATAAAATAATATCAAACAAATTGGTTTACAAGAATGAAGAAACTTCTTGCTATTTTAGACAAGATAGTAAACAGGTCATACATCAGACTCTACGAGATGAAAATTATACGAAAAGTGAAAATGAAAACATGGAGGAAAATGATAACTATAGGGCAGACGACATCACAAAAAACATAAACTGTCATGATGGATGCAATGCAGTGATAGAAAATGAATGGTGTGGTGATTGCCACAGGGATGATGACACTTGTGCATCGTCCATTGGTCAAAGCGTAGATATTATAAATTCCAGTATTAGGAAAATAAAAAAAAATTTAAATGATATAAAAGAGGTTATTAACATAGATATAGGTTCAGATGCAGGTTCAGATGTAGGTTCAAGTGCAGGTTCAAGTGCAGGTTCAGATGTAGGTTCAAGTGCAGGTTCAGATGTAGCTGGTTCGCATTTACACTCGTGCGGGAAAACGCTTTCAAATAAGACACGAAGTAACGATAGCAGCATGGTCAGAACGTTTGAAGATTTGAAAGGAGACGACAGTGATGAAAGCGAGAACAGAAAAAGAAGTAAACAAATAGAAATGTTATTAAACACTGCGATAAATACAAAAATGGAGAAAAAAAAAATTGGAACGTTAGACATTATTGATGAATGCATAACTATAGGAAATGCTTACAATTTTAAAAAGGAGAATCATGATGAAAAAGATGCATACTCATCTCCATTCATTGTAGATGGGGTTCCTCGTGGAGTAAGCTACGCACAGAGTATAGACATGTGTGATATTTCAAACTTAGATGAATTTTTGAAAGAAAATAATGTTTCTATGGAAAATATATTCTATGGTTCAAAAGTGGCTTCCATATATTCAGAAAACGTAGAAATAGAAGATTCTCACAGGGGTACCAATCTGAGCAAAGATACAAGCGATTCTTCATCCATTACACAAGGGTGTTCCCAAGGGGTCTCACCCATCAACCCATTAGATGGAAAGGCTTGTACAGAAAAAGAAGGATTGTCGAAGAGTGGATTAATGGTGGAGACTGAGGTGTCGTCACCTATCGAAGTTGAGGACTTAAAGGATTCACACCCAGTTAACGGGGCAGGTAAATGAAGGAAAATAAATGAAGTAATATAAAAATGAAAAAGCGAAAATGTGAAAAAATGCATATGCATGTGCAGGCGAAAAATCTTCGCTAACTGACACTTCTGAGAGGGTACAATAAATGCCCCTCCTCCCCTCCCCTCCTTTTCAGGTAATGAGGGAGATACCAAATGGAAAATGCAACAAATGGTTGATTCTATGGAATATAAAAGGACATATAATATTTCAATAAAACGATTTAGTGGTAATAATTTTTTTCCAATTTCTGTCTGAACCACAAGCATGTGTTCACTCCGCTTGTTCATATTTAACAGCTGACATTATGCAAGTATATTAGGATTGTTCTAAATATTTTTTTTTATAAGTATAGTAGTTCTAAGCATAGTGAATTATCTCAGTGTAGAATATATGGCACCAATCATGTATAAGAGTAAAAAAAATAAAAGGGGTCCTCAAATGAATAGAAGCTCAAAAATATATTTTAGTTAAATATGATACTTTAACGGGAACGCAAAGCAGTGTAATGAGGCGCGACTATGTAGTGAAACGTGAGTGTGTAATGAAGCGCGAGTGTGCAGTGGGGCGTGATATTGTAGTGAACTTTTACAAGGAACAGATCTTATAGCCATGTCTTAGGGTTAGATCTTCTTTCCTTTTCACTACATAGAAAATGAACAAGTTGTGTTTTCCCCTATAAATACATATTCACTGATTCATCAGAACATTTAATGTTCATTTTAGCTTTACTTTTATACAATATAAAGGGGGAAAAAAAAAAAAAAAAAAAAATTATCCACTTTTAACCATTTCAGCTTGCCTACAACATGTTAAGGATACTATCAAATATGACAAAGACAAATTAACATATCCCATAAAACTTTTTTTTAAGGAACAAAAAAAATTAACGGCACTTTTAAAAAAAAAAAAGAAATTCATCTACTTTTTTCTGCATGCGTGTTTCTTTTTTTCTTACATTTTTTTTTGCTTTTCCTTTATTTTTTTTAAGCGTATTTTTTATGGTATGTTTTACGACCAGGATTTGTGAGACACACCCTATATAGCACCGCTTCTTCTTCTTCTTCTTCCTCTATTTGTAAATACAATGCTTATAATACAAGTATTCGTGAGCATGTCCTTGTGTCTGAGTCTTGGGGTAGCTAAGGAAAGATAATTGAAAATTTCGAGCAGAAATTCCTGGAAATTTTGGCCCACACACGCATACATAAACAGATGGAGAGAACCTCCAAACGTAGGTGTGCAAATTTGTGATTTAATTTTTTACGAGTAATATTTCATTCTAAAGAACAGTTTTTTTGCATTTTCATGTAATGGAAAAATGTGATTTTTCTAAATCTGTTAAAATTTGTATGCACATGCATAACCTGCTACTTATTCGTAACATTTCCATTATTTGTGTAGATTCATATGAAATACTTGTTTAATAAAAAATTTTAAAATTTATTGAAATCTTGTGTTGTGAAAGGAACTTAAAAAAAAAAAAAAAAAAAAAAGGCACAAAATGAGAAGAGGTGGTTAAGGAAATAAGTAAAATATAAAAAAAAAAAAAAAAAAAGAAAAACAAAGAAAATGGTAATTACAAAATGGGTAAGCCAAATGCGTATGCAAAATGAAAAATAAATTGCAAAATTAAAAAAGAGCACATGTGCTAGCTGGAGTATAAAACGTATAGATGGGGCAGATGGAAAAAGAAACTAAAACGATCGATATGATAACTGGACAGGTAACTCGAATATTTTTTTTCAAAACTCGAATAACGCTGTTTTAAAAAGTAATGCAACAAAAGTAGTTGGATAAACGAAAAGAAAAGAAAAGGATGAAAAAAAAAAAAAAAAAAAAAAGAAGCAAATGTTATATAAAAACTTAAATAATGCAAGCCTTAACAAAATTAGGATTATGGCATAATGGGTTTGCTAAAGGTTGTTGCGTTTTCACATTTCCCTCCAAATTTTTCTGAAAAAGTGGGAAGAGAAAAAAAGGATGTAGGACAGGTAAAACTGAGTAATGAGAAGCATGAACAAGGAGAAGCGTGAAAAATGAGAGGCGTGAAAAATAAGAGGCGTGAAAAATGAGAGGCGTGAAAAATGAGAGGCGTGAAAAATGAGAGGCGTGAAAAATGAGAGGCGTGAAAAATGAGAGGCATGAATGGCTCCCTAAAGTATGATAAGAGGAAAAATCATAACCCATAATCAAAACGAAAGCATATATTTAACTGATTTTTGAAAAAAAAAAAAAAGAAAAAAAAGAAAAATCGTCTTTTTGTTAGTTTACTTTCCAGTTGGTCTGCGTCCACTTGTTCAAGAAGCCTTTTCTATGATAGGGCAAAAAAAAAAAAAAAATCAGAAAAAGGGTAAATAATCAGGTGGAAGAAAAAAAAATAAAATAAAAAAAAATTTTAATTAAACCAAAAAAAAAACGCTGTACATGTGCATGCATAGTATTGTATAATAAAATGTTTCTCATTCCATGTAAACGAAAAAAAAAAAATATAAAATTAATAAAAAGATATGTTTTCTTTCCTCTTCCCCTTCTTACATCTATTCCGGCTGAAGATATTGTTATTTTCTGCTGCGTTACAACCTGTAAAACAGGACAGTAAAAGAGGAGTATCATATAGATAGTGCTGCTAACAGCATAGTTGAAGCAGAAAAAAAAAAAAAAAAAAAAGGGTAATTAGAACCGTCTGTAGCATATATATACTCTCTCCCTCTACCCTCTACCCCCTGTGTGCAGTAATTCTTTACCGGTATGATTGACTTCAGCATGTGCCACATTCCAGTAACAAAGAGAGGTGCACTAAGGATTAACATTTTTGCTAATCTTGATCTGTAATTACACTGAATGGAGGTAGTAAACAATAAAAATAAAAGTAAAATCATGTTATGCGTGTAATAACACCATCCCCTTTTGGTTATTTTTATTTTTATTATTTTATTTTATTTTATTTTTACGTATAATAATTTGTGTGACATTATATAATAGCAAATCTTAGTTTCTCCATTTTATATTTCTCACATCATGTCACATATATATATATATATATATTTTTTTTTTTTTTTTCTAATTACACTAAGACACTTGGAGATATCTTTTAAAGTCCCTATGGGTATGTTCAAAACACCACATGATGATAAGTCGATTATAACTCTCCATTGCTCAATTTTCCCTTCAATGAATAGATTTGATATTATGAATTCTGAAAAGAATGATGGTATGAGATTAAACACATTGAATAGTGGGCATGATTAGACGAGATATAACAAGTTGGCATGTGAATAAAATTATGCAATATGAAATCAAGCTGAAACAATATTCACATTGGGAAGTGGTACATAAAAAAATAAAATAAAACTTTACCCATCCAGTAGTAGGCTACCCTTAAAACGTCCTTCTGAAATGAGAGGAAAAAAAAAAAAAAAAAAAAAAATTAAAAAAAAAAAATAAAACAAATTAAAGTAAAACAAAATTGTCGCATTTATAAACGTGCAAAAGGTATATCACAGAAAAGTATAGAACAACATGAAAAATACAAGTGTTGCATTTTTCCAAACGTGCTTTTTTCTTTAAACATCCCGTCTACATAATATGCAAACCTCAAATTTTGTGACATTTTTTTTTTTTTTTTTTTTCTCCTTACCGTGCTCGAAGATATGAAGTTTTTACAATTTATAATAATTATTGGATGCATTTGTTTATCCCGTCCGTGAACATAAATATATCCGTTTTTCTGACAAATGGGAAAGTGAAATGGGGAGAAATTTCATCCGTAAATTGAGCAGTAAAATAAAAAAAAAAAAAAAAAAAAAAAAAAAAAAAAATCATCCATAACACAGGACCTCTCTCCCCCCTCACATACACACATACACATCCTGAAGCATATTTATTTTTCTGCTTAGCTCCATTCGTCTTACCAATAAATCCTTGATATCGTCATATAATACTGGGAGGTTTTCATCTCTCCATTCCAGGTGTCTTAGCATATCATAATAACACTTTTCAAAGTGGAATTCATTTCTACATTTGTGGGAAGAGAATAAAAAAAAAAAAAAAAAAAAAAGGGGGAATAAAAACATAACTTTGAATGAGAGAACGCTCCTCCTTGGTTCGTAAATGTACATATATGTACTTGTACATGTATATGTATACAACCCTTTCATGATATATTAAAGAATATGTTAATCATGTAGACACTATGATCCTTTTTCACTCCTATCCCCCACCCCCACCCCCACCCCCTTTTATACTAACCCTTGTAAAAATCGAAGCACATAATTGTCATCTTCAAAAATTGTATTCTTGAATATGCCTTCATATGTCTCTTCTTTCCCTTTTCCTTCATTTTCTTTTTTTTTTAAATTATTAACAAAATCCTTTAGTTCCTGTATTTTCTCTTTTTCAAAATCATCCAATTCTTGACGACAAAAAATGTACCTTAAGCTTTTATGATTATTTTTGTGGTACTGTGAAGGTAGTTAAAAAAAAAAAAAAAAAAAAAAAATAGGTTATATAACGGGAAAAAAAATTAAATGAATTTTTATCCCATATGCTATGTATATGGAAGTATTCGCGAAAATGAGGGGGTACAGTTCGCCTTAGCTTGGTGCCCATTTCCATTCCTCTATTTCTTTCACGCCATTTTCATTGCAATGTTTCTGTTGTTCTATTCCTATTCCTTTTGTTTTTTTGTTTTTGTTTTTGTTTTTGTTTTTGTTTTTTTTGTTTTTTTTTTTTTTTTTTTTTTTTACAAATTTAATTTCCTCCTTGGAGGGTTCATACGCCAAAGCTTTTTGAGATATATACTGAGATTCCGTTTTACAATTACTCATTGTTTATGCTGCTTCTAGACTAAAGGTAGGTATTATTATTGTAATATTCTGTGTACACTGAGATGCAATATATATATATATATATATATATATATATAGCAACAAAGATTCCTCCTTCTGTGTGTTTTTAATTAATACAAAAGAGGTATTAAAAGAATATTTTTTCCCCCCTCCTTTTCCTCTATTTTTTTTTTATTTTTTTTTTTTCCTGTTTCGTGTGAATAATTACACATAGACGAGTGGAAAATAAGATTGCAAAAAAAAAAAAAAAAAAAAAAGGAATAAAAAAATTAAAATTTTCAGGTGGGAAAAATGGATTTTTAGATTCCTCATTCGTTAAATATGTTTGATATGCAACATATGTGTAATGTGTGCATTTGGGGGTTGGGACGAAGGGGTTCTTGTGGTGGTGTGTGATGTTACCATGGAGAAAATATCTCTGCATGTAACTCATATGATGCAAGTGCAGAACGCACTCAGTAGATTAAAAAGTGTAAACTGGCTAAGCCAACATAACAGAATTAAGCCCTGCTCAAAGAGCAGTAATGATCATGACATAAAAGTGTACATAACAACACAATACACGTTAAGTAAGAACACCTTCACAGGTTCAAAACTACAACAGTAACTGAAACATCACATGAGAGATGATATAAAAATGTAATAAAAAATGTTGAAGTGTAATAAAGTTCAATGAAATAATATAAAAAATGCAAAAACTTACTGTGCGAAGGGACTAAACAAAATTGTGTGCAAAAAAAAAAAAAAAAAAAAAAAGTACGTTGGGGCAAGGTGTGTGTGTGTGTGTATGTATGGTGAACAAATGTTACCACGAGGTGTACTTTAACAAATGCTAGAGTAAGGTTTACGAAAAACAAATGTGTCAAATGTAGTGTAGGAGCTAAATAGTTATTATTCTTAAAGTTTGTTCTTGTTCTTTTTCATTTCAATAAAAAAAAAAAAATAAATAAATAAAATAATAATATATATCCATATATCTGTAACTCTCGCTTTATAAATTGTAACACAGGAATCAAAAGATTATCTACCTATCATCTATCCATCCATTCATCTATTTTTTTTTTTTTTTTTTTAAACTAAAAAAACGTGTATAACTATTATATAAATTTTTCAATTAAGTGAGCATAAATGTGACATAATGCATTATCTTAAATTTCAAAAAAAAAAAAAAAAAAAAAAAGTAAATAAATAAAATAGCATTTTCTAAATCTAAATATTAACGACATTTCATTAGTTTATACACCATTTATCAGTTCTTTCTTTCCTGCCTCCCTGCCCTTTTTTTTTTTATTTTTTTTTTTTTTGCGTTAAAACGTAATTTTTTTCACTTTTTTATTTTACTTTATTTTTTTTTATTTATTTATTTTATTTTATTTTTTTTTTTTTTTTTGCTAAAAGCTCTAAGTGTGCAGTGATCATTTTTTGCACATGCAATAAGCAATGGACCAGCTTTTTTCTTTTTTTTTTTTTTTTTTTTTTTTTTTTTTTTTCCCTCCTTTCTCAATTCGTAAGAACCATATGAGGGAGAAGAATTTTCCTGCTTGAACTGTCAAATGCACATGCAGATAGAAATAGAAATGGAAATATATATGTATGTACGGATTCAGGCCACAAACTTATGTATATATTTAATATGCACATAAATAAATCATGTAAATGAGCAAGTAGAATTTCATCGTTTTACTAATTTTTAATA